ATAGGTTTCCCCCCCCCCTCAAAGGTGATTGGTTCACTGCATCGCAGGTATTATTGTGATTGGCTCTTGGGCCACATCAAAATTATACGCGCTGTCATCCTCTCATACTGACACACAACATACATAACACGGGACGAAAGTAACGGAGCGATTTTATCCGAGCCCAAACAACTTTGACCGGCCAAATTACGTCAGAATTATCAGCATTCAATACTTAACAGACCTACTAAATATCAGGTTTAACTGTCAGGAGTAGCTAGTGTTGTCACGATACCAACATTTTGGTTTTGATACCAAGTCAAGAATTGCGATTCCGATTATTTTTCGATATTTTCTTAAAAAAAGGGAAACGGTCTTAAATGTAATTATTGTGCTTTATTTCACACCAGAACCATAACACAAACTTTTAAACAATGAGAACAATAAATAAAATAAATGACAAGAATTCGTATTAAATACAATTAATAAATGTCTTACAGACAGGCCTCGTGGTGTCCGTAGGCTTGCCCTCACTGTCAGAGATATCGCTAAAATACTTCCAAATGTCGCTTCTGGCGTCTTTTGTCAACAAGCCGAGGCGCAGCGGCAGTTGCACTCCCACTTGCAGCCATGCTTCTCGTTTTCTCACATGCTCTGGCAGCTAGCGCGTGCACGAGAGAGGGGAGGCACTTAGAGCGTGCTTGAGAGGGGAGGGACTGCAGGCACGGCTGCAGTGCAGGGAGTGGAAGCAGAGCGCTGAACACACACGGCTCTTATTAAAACGGCGCTTTCTCACCGGAGTACTTTTCCCCGTCATTCTTAAAGTACCGATACTAATGAAACGGAGGAATCGTAACGTTTTTAACGGCAGGGTATCGCGGTACCTTTCAAGTATCGGTACACCGTGCAACACTAGTCAGGAGTCAGTGTATCTCCCCCAAACTCACACATAAAATTCGATATGAACTGAAGAGCCGCATGAAACTAGGCAAAGAGCCGCATGCGGCTCGAGAGCCGCGGGTTGGCCACCCCTGCAATAGCCAGTCGGTGCCTGCCGGTGAGCGTGGAAGTGTGGTCTGCAATAAGCGGGCGGCAGGAGCGGGGCTGTCAGCATCAGCTTGTAGATGGTATTTTAAACTCGATGCGCTCTGAAACTACGGGGCGGCCGAGGAAAAAAAATACACATGCATTAATCGCGTTAAAATAATTAGTGGCGTTAATTTTTTTAACAGCCCTAATATATATATATATATATATATATATATATATATATATATATATATATATATATATACGAAAACTAGATATAGGGTCATTTTCTGCACATGTCAATAACAGTTTCAACTATCTTTTTTTGGAAATTAAAATACTATATATAAATATATACATAGGTACACATGCACTTGGCAAATGAATAATAATAATAATAATATATGTGTAATTGCATATAAACATTGTGAACACTTATTTTTAAGTGACTTTTTTACATTCATATGTTCACGCTGTGGTTTGGAACTGCTTTTGAATGTTATTAGGCATTTTGTTATGGAAAATGTTGTGCAAAATCAGTACTGTTTTAAGCTGTACTATCTCAACACATTTTAATAGATTGAGTTTTTTTTAAATATGGGAGTTGTGTGTTCATATTTACCAACACCACAGACTATTTGTAATACATTTTTTTGGGGATGTTATTATTTTTTGTAGATTTGTTGAGTACGTGTTTCCCCATATTTCGGAGCAGTATTAAAGGTAAGGGAGAAATAGACTGTTATAAAGAGTATATTTTCTTCAAGAATGTTCTTAGTATGATACCAAATACCTATTGTTTTTGACAGTTTAGTCTGTACATAATTTATATAGTGCTTCCAATTGAGTTTTTCATCAACAAGCAGTCCTAAAAATTTACATGCACCAACTTTTTCTATCTCTGTATTGCAAATCCGTATAATGCAGCCATTTCTACTCTCAGACTTTGTATTGAATAACATGTAATTTGTTTTGGCCACATTAAGGGATCATTTATTAACTGCAAACCAGTTACATAGTATTTTTAATTCTGCATTCACAATTTGAACAAGATCGCCAAGATTATGATGGGAGCAGAGAATTCAAAGTTCAGGTTCAGCCTCAATATATTTGGGGAGAATTAAAATGAGCCGTCTTTATTTGTAGACAGCCAAGCCCCCTCCTGTGAGTGTTCGGTGAAGCATTATATGCTTACAAATCCAATGTAGGATATAAACACGACTAAACTGCAATGATAGCAAAGCTGTGGCTTGGGTTTTTGGGGTAATAAAGTCCAAATCATCGTTGGGCTGACAGCTGAGAAAATGCTGCATCTCTTGCATTTATTGACATAGAGGAGCCTTATTGTTTACCTTTTGAATATGATTTTTTGTAATTTTCAATTGCTTGGTTTTCGTGAAATTAGCCTGTTTTCCTATTAAAGTGTAACAGATTGATGCATCTCCACAGATCATCTTAAAGGCTTTGGAATCCCCCCCATTGTAGTTAAAAAAACTGTCAAAACTAGGGCCCCCAAACAGCATCTTGCATAGGGCCCCCAAAAAGCTAAAAACGGCCCTGTAGGTATGGCCCTACAATATATGTTTCAAATATAGCATGATAGGTCCACGTTAAGATATGAATAGTTCACACAGAAGTTACACTTTACTGATGCTTTTCTTTAAGGTGTCTCCGAACATGAGCGTACGCTTGTATGGCACATACGTCCCGAGCAGCATACACAGATAAAACCAGCCAGGACAAAGTCCCCAGACACTGATTCCCTGGGGTTACTAGCTCCAAATGTTCATCAACCAAAAACGAAACACAACCGCTCAGTTTCAATTAAAAGCAGCGGCAAAAAGATAAGTCTTCAGTTAGCAATGCTAATGTAACATGCACCGACCATATTACGTCCAAAACAGTCGGGCATTGTTTCTGATAGCAACGTTTCTGATTAGCCCGTGGGTGTAAAGCCAGCCTACATTTCCGATATTAGGTCGTATCGGACGCAAACCTGGATCCGCTCCGTTGTAGCCCCGTTTTTAGAGATTTGGGTACGGTGGAAAAGAGAGAGGGTTTTATTTTCTGACGCTGCGTGAGTTCCCCGACACACCGGGGACACATATTGATGTATAAAAAAAGTGCATTTTGCATGGTCACCTTTAAGTTCAATTTAAAATGCAAATAAAATGTTAAGCACATAGATAATAGTATTTCCTAAAGCTCCCATCTCTTTATTTCAATTTACAATGAGTATTTTTAACTCATTGTTTCTGACATTTTATTTTTATTCTGATTGAATGGATTTGGGATGCTTATTGTTTCGAGTATTTCTGGTGTTGAATATTTCTCAGGTTAAGGTTTTAGCATGCTTACATATCATGCTATGATGCTAATTTTAGTATGCAGGTCATAGACTTATTTTTGACAGACACATGTAGGTTGTGGCGCAGTGGCCTAGTGCGTTGGTGGTTCAAACCCCACGGCAGTCAGCATGTCGTTGTGTCCCTGGGCAAGACACTTCACCCCAAATTACTGCTGTGGGGATTGCCCACAGTATTGAGTATGTAAGTTGCTTTGGATAAAAGCGTCTAACAAGTGACATGTCTTTCTGAGCATACTGAGGTCAGACTGGTCTTTTTTTGATAAATATGTTACTTTATAACTTGATAGTAAAAAAAAAAATGGTTCAAAGGCAAATATGCAAAGGAAAAATAGCTAAGATTTAGGAATGTAGACTTTATATATATATATTTAAAACAAAGTTAAAATCGTTAAAAATGAGCTGAAGAGAAAGTGCCTTTCTTTAGCTTGGCTTTCTTAAACTTGGGAAGCTAAACTGTGTCAAAGCGCTTACAAGCAAGTACAACAAAAATAATGAAGATGAATGATGTGATGTGCATTAATGTTTTTCTGGGTGGATACAAGTCAGTGTGGCCTTGTTGATGAGGCCGGTAGCAGAGGGGAAGAAACATAACTTTATGATGGGTTAAAGTTGCATTAATGACAAATTCTGAATGGCAACAGAGCAGAGAAACCACCAGATGGCAGCAACATACAAACCAAACTTTCGTAATATCAAAAACGTTCTGTCATCATCTTTAATAATAATAGAAATGACAGAAGAGTTATCTGTGGGCTACTTGTATTAAAATACAGACATATATTGTCAGAAAATACTGTTCAATGGTTCTATGGAAAAGTCAAATTAGAGACAGACAGACAGACAGACAGACAGACAGACAGGCAGGCAGACAGACAGACAGACAGACAGAGACACAGAAAGACAGACAGGCAGACAGAGGGACAGGCAGGCAGACAGACAGACAGACAGACAGACAGACAGACAGACAGACAGACAGACAGACAGACAGACAGACAGACAGACAGACAGATATATAGATAGATAGATACTTTATTTATCCCAATTTAAGAAATTATTTTGTCACAGTATGACATGTAGAGGAAACTTCTGTGTAGATAATTATTTCCATAACATGACAGACAGACAGACAGACAGACAGACAGATATATAGATAGATAGATACTTTATTTATCCCAATTTAGGAAATTATTTTGTCACAGTATAATTTTGACAGTCAATCTACAGGCATTACAAAATTACTTAAATACAAAAAAATAGAGTTAAATACAGATAAAATGAAGATAAACACGACACATTTAAAATGTAAAAACAATATACATATTCTTGCTAAAACAATACCTATATTCTGAACATGATAAAATATACAGAATAAATGAGAATACTTTGTAATAAACAAATCTACTGACCATATCGATGTTACAAAAAAGGAAGTCTTTGTTCCGTTTCAGCTGATTCGCCATAAACACAAATAAATGTTATAAAATATAAAAACGTCCATGTTTGATATCCTCCAAAGGGAGCGTGCTTTAAAGTCTCGATAGGAGCAGCTGAGGATACTGGGATATTTTTAGGATGACGATGAGGAGGATGAGGATGACGGGAAGGAGGAGCTCTGACGTCATATGTCCATGTTTTTTTTTGTAGCTCCGCAGTGCTGCTGTGTGAGCCGACAAAACCTCTGGAAGCTGCAGGAAGCTTTTTATACTTTTTTACACTTCTCCATTCTTTTTCTTCTTCTTCTTCCTCTTCTTCTTCTTCTTTCCTCCTGTCTTTATCGCCTTCTCTTTGTCTCCATGCGGGTGTTTCTCCAGCTCCAACCCAAACAGCGGGCCTTCCTGTAGCCGCCGCCCCGGCCTCCCTCTCCCTCCGGCCGGCGGAGCCTCCCAGCTGAGCCCCGCTGAGGTGGCCTGGTTCCCGGGGAGAGATGCTGTAGAGCAGCCGGTGGAGGAGATGCTTCTACCGGACTGAAGAGTAGCAGAAAGCAGCAAAGATGTCCGGCAGCAGGATGCCTCTGACCCCGGTGAGCGAGAGAGAAACCGAACAGGTAAGTGTGCTTCCACCCTGATTATTGATTATTGATGGGAGTTTTGAATCATTCATGCAGTGTCTTTACTTATATCAAGATTCAAAGGCTTTATTGTCATATGCACAGTAGCCACGGTGTAGATAGGGCAATGACAAACCTAAGTCCTAAGCTCCTCCAACAATGCAACAGTATAGGACATTGTCGTGCCACAACATAACAAATAAAACACTTTTTAAAATGACACACTGGTGCAGGTAGAATGCAGGAATAAGTGAAGTCTAGTGCCTTGCTCTAGAGACTAAAGGAATTTGATTATTGATTGAGTTTTAAATTATTCATGCAGTCTTTACTCATCGAGATTCAAAAGCTTTATTGTCATATACACAGTAGCTACAGTGTAGATGGCTATGAACAACTTAAGTCCCAAGCTCCTCCAACAATGCAACATAATACAAGACATAAAGCACATTGACAAATAAAAATGACATACTGGTGCAGGAATAAGTGAACTATACACATGTAAAGTCTATTGCTGTGCTCTAAAGGAATTTGATTATTGATTGAGTTTTAAATTAGTCATGCAGTGTCTTATTTATCAGCCTATTATTGGTGGTTTTACAATTTTGTTGTTATTATTTTTTGACAGTTTAAACAGAGGTCACCTGTTGGGATCATCCTGATTGATCCACAGTGTTTCAGCAGATCAATAATATAAAGATTTGAAGGCTTTATTGTTATATGCACAATAGCTAAAGCATAGTTGTTGGCAATAATAATCTTCCCAGACTCCAATAAAGTAAACTTTGACTATCAGTCCAACATAGAATATATATATATATATAAAATAAATCCAGAAAATGTTCCATATGACTTACAGGTAAAATGCAGGAATAAGTCAAATATATACAAGTTTGAGTGCCTTGCTCAAAGGGATGTTGGTAGCAGGGGTGTGACAACCTCATACTGTTAAATATCTTCATGCTGATGTTGACCACAGTGACACGTTTCTTGTCTTAGCAGTAACTGGAGATGGATGTCAAACGGGTCAGAGCACTTAAATTAACAACACCCATTTGTGAGAAACTCTGTGGCCTCAAAACTACATTAGAATGTGTTGTGCTCTACCCACACAGTTCCTTAAAGGGATAGTTTGGACTTTTTGGGGTTAATTATCCAGAGTTATTGTTGTACCTTTAGTAGATGGGATCCTTAAAGTGTAATATTGGCACGTCCCAGTTTGGAGAAACATGGAGATAGGAGTACCAGCACAGAAGGATGTTTTATTATATTATATAGGATGACAAAATGTATTGTAGCAACCTACAACTATCGATTTATGTGTAGTTTATCTTGTACATGTTCACCTATTGACTGTGCCACCAAACAGCCTTATGCTACAGCAGGGTGTCCGCGGGGTCTTAAAAAGTAAAGTTGATAAATCAATTTAGCGAAAATTAAACAACATTTTCCAAGGTTTTACATTTTGTAGCTTGTTTTCAATAAGTATATAAATGGTCCAGAGAGGTTGTATTCTACAGTGTGCCTGAATGTAATCATTGCGTAGGTGTGTAGTGTGATTCTGTGTAGTTTATTTATGGCATCCCGTTGGATGTGACGTCATCTGAACAGGACATCGCACGCTCACTGCTTGATAGCACGCGAAGGCCCGTTTACGCCGGTTGTTGAACAACATCGTTATGGGGAAATGCAAGTCTGCGTCCAAATGGTTGGAAGATAAGGAGGAAGGACAATCAATACTGTATATAGTCAATGTGAGGTAAAGTGTGTCGTCAATGTAACCGGTTAAAACTCCAAGTGGCGATGAGGTCTTAAAATGTATGGAAAGGGTCTTAAAAAAGGTTTTACATTTGACTTCAGGATTCCTGCATGTACTTTTTTTTAAAACAACCAGAATCCATTGACAAAAACAATCATTTGACTTTGCAGAACACAGGAGTTGCTGGTTTACTTTTTCTCCCAGTTGGTTCGTTTGTTGTGTTTTTGTGTGACTTTGGTGTTTTTTTAATGGTTAGTTTGGATTCACCAAAGTCACACGATTAAAAAAACAATACAGGCAGCGTTAAATCACAAATCCTTTGTCATGCGAGGTCAAATGTACAGTTTTGTCAATGGAGTCTGGTAGCTTTGAAGAAAGTGTAGTTATCAGCTTAAGAGCCCCCCCCCCCCAGAAAGTTATGTTGAAAGAAAAAGGGACAAGGCAAGATAGAGCGTTATTCTATCTACATAAAGATATATGTAAATATTATACTTCTGTATTGTTTGTGGTTAGCTTTTGCAACAAAGGTACAATGCTTGTGGTACTCCAGAAGATAAGATACTCAGTTTAAAATAACAAAGATGATGCTGCAGAACCAAAGATATTTTCTTTTTTTATGCCACACATTCTTCCTTCTACATTACCCACAATGCAACTCTTCCCCTGGCAGTTATAGATTCAGGTGTGTTAAGCTAGACACGGCTAGCACAGCCTGCAGCCTCTGGTCTGGTTCATACATTTAAAAAGTTATAAGAATGATTTCTTGTAACAGTATTTCTACACGGTTTGCATTTCTACTTTTACTGAAACAATAGTACTTTTTCCACTAGTTTCAGGTGCAATAAGTTGAGTTGATACAGCTTCATGTTTTATTGTGGAGTCATGTAGCAGGATGCTAACAGCTGCTGTGAAATAGAAGATATATTAGCTTTGATTATTTAGTTCTACAGCCACTATTGTGTACTAAAGAGGCTGTTTGTACTTTAATGTTGTGGATAACGCCCATGTGGAAACATTATACAGTCTATGGTGGAAACACATGATGGAACAAGCTGTTAGCTGTGTTGTTGTGGACAGAAGTAGCTTCTACTTCTATGTTTTCTCTCTCGTGTCATCTGTCAAACACTGAGAACTGTGTGATGTTTTTAACCCTTATGTTAGCAGAGTCTTCGGGTCTGATGGACCTTGAAGGAATTCTGGGTAAACGCAGCTTCCTTATTGTCATGCTAATGCTGGAATGCTAGCAGTGATCTGTTCTCAGGCTCCTGGTGCACATCCTCATCACTCTGTCTTAATGTTTCTCCATCTCAGGAATTATTTATTGGTATGTAAGTATTAATGGGGAGGAGTGAGATAAGTATACTGCTTTATTTATTGATTCATCAGCTCACTATCTCTTGATAAATCCATTTGGTTTTAAAGCATTTGAAAAACTCTCAACATTTAGTTTCCTATAAACCAAGCTGAGGTCTTTGTGAGTTTGTTTTGTTCAACACAAATACATCAGATTATTGTGCATTTACACCAACAGTCAGTAAGCTGTAATATTAAGGTGGTTCCTTTGTTCCTTCAATTAAAGCTAAAGTAAAAACGATATTACTAAGGCGCCTAATGTATTATTGACACTTTGTAAATAGTTGTTGCCCTAATAGAAAAGTAACTGAATAGCTCCATTCAGTCGATGTCCACACAGTGTTGCATGGCAGGGGAAAACCATGTTGGATTTTAATTTTTTTCAGTCGTGGAAAAGCGACCCTCGATCATTATTGATCCACAATGGAATTTTTGCTTTTATCATTTAGTGTTTCTTGGGTTTTTGAGCACTTTGCAGTCCATTCAATGGTTAGAACAATGAGGTTTGAACTGTCATTTATGAATGTTAGGTTGTAATGTTTGTAAAGAGGACTTTCTACATGAAAAACACATTCAAACATATATTATTCGTCTCAGACGTCAGAATCTTTCATATCACGAAAGTGTTAATCTTGAAAAATAATTTTGCAGGTACATTTTCTAACTAATAACATTGTGTTATCATTTGAACAGTAGAAACAGAAGTAGACGTTTTCGGCTGCTGCTTTTAGTATAACAACATTATAAATATGACTTTCTTTTACTTTATCACTCACAGTATAACAGAGTATTGTCCTGCTGTCCGCCTGGTCATGTCTTTGTTTCTTTGTTTCCTCTGATCTGTTCCCCTTCACTTCAGTCAGACTCTCGGTAGCTACAGCTGGCTCCTACTGTCTGTTTACTATTGATTGTTCCCAGAATACACTGCTGCAGGATGTGATATCTGCAGCTCTGGGATGTTTTTTAGACTTCTAGAAGTCACTTTTAAAATCCTCAAGTGGGACAGGACAGCTTTATAGTCACTTATACCGGTGGTGCGTTCAAGATCTATTGAGAAGTGGGAAATGTTGTCACACATTTGAACTGGTACGCCCTGGAAGTAGGGTTGTCTGCTATGACTGGATATAATGTGCAAGGGTTGAAATGTGTCCACTGGTTCTTTTGTATAATGTTTTTACTGTGGTAGGTTATTCTCGCGTGATCTTGTGATTCCCGCGTGATCTCACCGTCACAATCTCATTTATCTAGCTGTCTCGCAAAGTTACCTTAATGGGCAAAGATGCAGGAGGGGATAGAAGTTCTAAAATCAGGACAAGGCAGAAGTTTTGTTAAATGACAACCAGACATTTGCACAGTTTTTGTCATGTTTTTAAATGAAAAGTGGGCAAAACCTGCAGGAAAAGTCAAAACATTTAAGTGATGTTGTGTTGACTGAAGTCAGGCTTGTATGTATTCACACCTGTTATTATAAACTATTTAGAGATCAAGTACCGTATTGTGATACAGTTTCAGTTACAGTTTCCTTGATATCATATTACATATACTGGGTTGTAAAATACATTTGTCTTACCCTACTGCTACGTTAGCCATTAGCTAGTAGTGCTACAAAGCTAACATTTTCAGACTTGTACTGTCAAAGGGGGTCAACTCGGTTTCGATGTCATTCAGCTCCGATTTCCTGACTTCCTAGCTTAAATGACTCAAGATAATCTGCCCCCTCTCCCCTTCCTTGGTGGTTGTGACCTTTGACCCCGGTCAGTGTGTCACGTGCAGGTCCACCACACGGAGAGTTTCAGGCTCTTCTCCACACACACACACACACACACACACACACAGAGATCCTCCTCACAGATCAATCACTGTGAAATCAGCTGCTGGAGGCTTTCAT